ATCCTTCCGTTCCCGCGGGCATGGAGGACTGGTCAATGTTCTACTCAGTATTGCATTTGGTACACGACTTGCGTGTCACGGCTGTCTCCGCAGCGGCCTCGGCAGTGCCGCCCAGAACGACTATCACGTCTTCCATGGAAAGGCCTAGGTTTGAAAAGCGGTAGACGTGGAAACGGCGAGAACCGCGATGTTCGCGATTGTCGAGCGGATTGCGAGGACACGGATGGATGGATGGAATTTATTTCGCCCGGAGGCACTGGGCCTATAGGGCCTTAGCACGCTAGCTACATCCGGATCAGATCGTTTTGCGTTTAACTCGTACAAGCCCCCTACTTCTTCCCTCTTTCTCGCTGCACCATTTACCTCTTGTTGCGAGGACGGATGGATGGATGGATGGAATTTATTTCGCCCGGAGGCACTGGGCCTATAGGGCCTTAGCACGCTAACTACATCCCGATCAAATCGTTTTGCCTTCAACTCGTACAAGCCCCCTACTTCTTCCCTCTTTCTCGCTGCACCATTTACCTCTTGCCTTGGTTGTTGTTAGCAGATCAACTTGGAGGCTACTTTCTCCAAGTGTTCAGCGTCCTATCTTCAGCAGCTAAAGCGGGACCTGCTGGTTAAGGCTCGTGGTTGAGGCTCGTGGTGTTGAGTGTCGGCTTCTTCTACTGTGACTGGTCTAGACTCTCCTCCTCATTCAGCTCCAGCCTTCCTGTTGCCATTGCGTATTTGATCGTCGCCCGGACTGCCTTCATATCTGGTGACCAATGCCTTGTATCTGATGGCGCTTTCCCTCCCAGATAGAACGAGAGGCTTCCTCGTCTTGCCACTGTGCATTGCAGCATGTCTTCCCTCAGAGCTGTCCATCTCACGCATCGGAAAAGAAAGTGTTCCACTGATTCCCTCGCTTGTCCACAGGCACAAAGGTCTGACTCGACCGCCCCAATCCTGCTCAAAAAACCGTTTAGTCTCGCCATTCCGGTTCGGAGCTGCGCCAATACGCAGGCCTCCCTTCGCTTCAGCTTGTCATAGAGATGGCGCGTGTGCTTGCCTGGTAGTGCTGCGTCCATGGCCTTTGAGAACTTGCCCACGCTTACAGGTAGAACTCTTGTCGCCCGTTGTCTTTCCATTGCCAGCCTCATCGCGGTAGACTTGGCCTGGGGTATTTGGGAGTCGGGTGTGCGTCCTTGCTTCGACGCTCTCTGGGCTGCTGCCTTGGCATCTGACCCCAGCGCGAAGTCAATCTCCGCTGGTATCCACAGAAAGTTGACCGAGTTCCCTCTTTGTCGGTGCAGCCTGGCCAAGTCGTAGATTTGCCGTATGATGCTTTGGCCGGATTGCTGCCGCGGCTGTCCAACTGCTGCCAGCGCTGACTGGTTCCTAGTGATCACGGTGATGTGCCTGTGGCAGATGCTAGCCGGTAACTTCTCCAGGGCCATTGCGATGGCTGCTAGCTCTGCTGTATATGGGTTCTGCTCTTCCCTTGTCCCAAGAACAACAGCATAGTTTGTCACAGTCTCGCTAGTTCTGTTGAAGAGAGTATCCCGTGCAAGGCCGCCCATGCCAACAATGCCCTTCTTTACGGATGAGCTGGTTGCGATCACGATTCCCGAAATTTTGTTGACCATCTCGGCCGCCTTCCCTCGATCGGCTTCGAGCGTCGGTCGTAGGCGAGGTACCCAGGGCGGGACGGCGTATTCCTGGATTGTCTCCATCCGGTCAACTCGTACTCCTTCAGCCACGCGGGCAATTTTCTGCAGCGGAGATACGAATCGTACGGTGGTCCGGACTTTCTTCATGGCAAGGGGATGCGTTCCGGGCAGCGTGTGGATGTTGATCCACAGACTGGCTGCCGCCTGGGCGTGTCGTTCTCGTACGGGGTAGATGCTCGCTTCAGCTTCCACCACGGCTGTTGCCGCGGTTCGAAAGGCTCCCGTGATGGCCAGGGCCCCGATCTTCTGCGCCCTGTTCAGCCAGCTCAGTGCTTTTTCCCCGCACGCATGCATCCAGACATTGGCAGCGTAGTCCATGACCGGGGCTACTGTCGCAACAAATAGCTGTCTCGCTGTCCGCGGGGAAAGCATCTTCAGCCTCTTCAGGGCCAGAGCGGCTGCGAGGCCCTTAGCTGCCGTCCTAGCAATGTGCTGCTTGTAGCGGAGTTCGCGATCCATCACGACACCTAGGATTTTCGCACTTTCCTTCGGTTTGACCACTTCGCCTTTGACCGAGAACGGTTGTTCTGAAAATCGCTCCATGTTCCTCGTGAAGTGTATGATGGCTGTCTTTTCGCCTTCAAACTGCGCACCGCTCCGTTTCTCCCAGTCAAGGGCTTTGTCGATGATAGCTTGGATTCCAGTGCGGTTCGACTCCGCTGACGGGCCCGTTACCCAGGCAGTGTAGTCGTCCACGAAGGCAATTGCGCCTCCGTTCGCGTCGATCTTGTGCTGCACTAGGTCGGCGTTGAAGAAGAGGAACAACACTGGAGACAGCGGCGATCCTTGCGGAAGACCCGCTTGGGGCAGCTCTTGCCGTCCAGATGTGAACCCGTTTACGGCAATGGTCGCTGTGCGCTTGGAGCAGAAGGCGTCGATCCACTTGACCAGGGGTTCAGGTATCCCTCTTGCCTTGAGCCTCTGGAGAAGCCTGTCTTTGAAGACCCCATTGTATGCGCCCTTGACATCGAAGCTGATCAAACTGAGCACCTTCCTAGCTCTCCATGCTTTGTAGATGTGTTCCTGAAGCAGAAGGAGAGCCTGTTCGGTCGAGCGTCTCTTCCTGGCTCCGAAGTGGTTGGCGGGTAGAAGGCCGCAGGTCTCCACAGCATGGGATAAACGCTCCGCAATGACTGCCTCCAGTATCTTACCCAGCGTGGAGAGCAGCGAGATGGGTCTCCAGGACTTGGCTAGAGTGTATTCGCTCTTCCCTGGCTTCTTCAATGGGATGATCTTGGCATTCCTCCACTGGCTGGGGATGTCGCCGTCTCGAAGCGACGTCCGGAATAAATGGAGCACCCTGTCTTTGACCACTGGCCAGAGCTGTCTCCATACCATTGCCGGTAGACCGTCTTCCCCGGGCGCCTTCCATGGCTTAGCGGACAGGACCTTTTGTTCTATCTCCTCCATTGTTAGGTCTGGCATGTGTACCGGCGCCCGTTGAGGTCGTTGGCCCTCGTCTTCGATTCTCGCTGGCAAAGGTGGGAAGAAGGCGGTGAGTAACTCCTGCGCTTGTTCTGCTTTACCCTCCGTGATGGAGCCATCGGGTCGGACGAGCGGGGGTATCTTATCGCCCATCGTGCCGCTGCCGGTTTGCAGGTACTTCGTTGCTTGCCAGATGTTAGCGTCATCGGCCAGGAAGTCGTTCCAATGCGAACTCTTCTGTCTGCGGATGGCGTCGTGGTACTCTTTGGCTGCCATCCTGGCTCGTTGTTCGAGCTCTGGTGCTGTTTGCCCAATCCTACGTCGAGATCTCGCCTGGTTTCTCCAAAACGTGTATGTCTGGCGAAGCCGTGTCAGGTCCGTTGTCCACCACCGCTTGGCGTATGGTGAGGGTTTGGCTTTAGGTGTCAGGCCGTAGACCGCCTCGGTTACCGCTGCCATGAGCCTGTCCGTCTGCTGCTGGACATTGCCGTCCCAGGGGATGCGTTCGAGGTTTGCTGCCACCCTAGTCCTAATTTCCGCCCAGGGCGCGTTCTTGAAGAGGAACCTCGTCTCACTGGGACGGTCCTCCACCGAGGTGTCAAAAGCTGTCTCGATTGCTCTGTGGTCTGAGCCATGGTCGCAGGGGTGAATCGCGCATCTGAGTAGTTGGTCTGCTAGTTCTGCAGAGGCCAGTACCAGGTCGATTGTGCTCTCAATGTCGCCTGACTGCCACGTCTTCGTGCCTCTTGGGAGGAGGCTGCAGAGGGAGTGTTCGTCCATGAGGTTGATGATGCGGTCTCCCTCGCCTTGTCTCCGTGGTGAGACATCGTCCCCTCCCCAAAGCTGGTCGTGGCGGTTGAAATCGCCCGCCAGGATGATATCCGTTCTCGTCCCTGTTCCGTTTCGAAACCTCCTAATCAGTCGGTCAATTTCCCTCATTGCATCTTCCAGTGCTTCGTCACTACCACCCTCCACATACACTGACACCATCAGCACTGCCCGATCTGGGAGCCGAATGCGTGCTGCGGTGAGGTCTGCCGACGGCACTGGAATCTGCTCGACCTCTATATCGCTTCGTACCCATAGCATGCTCCGAATTGGCCACGTGGTTTCTCGTCTTGTCGTTGGTATAAGCTTCGTCCAGTTGTGATGACTCATTGGGACCGTCGTCACCGAGCCTTCGATCAGCCTGGCATATGGTTCGGAGATGGCCAGCACTGCGAAGTCCTTGAGTCCCTCGTCGTTTAGCAGACTCTGCTGCACTTCTCTCCGTTTGCGGACGTTGAGCTGAAGGATCTTAAGCGTCTTGGGCCCCATTGTTCAACCAGCGTACCCGACAGTTCTTGCTAAATGACTCGTGTGGTCCTCTGCATAGCACGCACTTCAGGACCACGGACTGACACGTCTTGTGGTGGTGACCCTGTTCCGCACACCTTCCGCATCTTTGCGGCTTTTTGCAGGCGAAGGCCTTATGGCCGATCTCCTGGCATCTGTAGCACTGGATTGGGCCTTCCCGGGGCGCGAAAACGGTCGTGTAAGCGGATTCTCCGGCGAGATGGAAGTAACGCCCGTCTAGAAGTCGCCTTGCTTCGCTGCCCTTCGTCACGTAGACAACCATCGAGCCGTAGGCCTTGCTTGTATCCTTCCTGCTGAGCCAGGCAATCTTCGCAATGTTGACGTCGTTCTCTGTCCCTAGCGCCTCTGCGGCTCCCGGCAGGATGTTTCCGTCCGCATCGAGGACCGCTGTTCGGTTGGCATTGTCTACCCTCACCGGGTACAACTGGTCTCTCAATACCCGCACTCCAGGAACACTGATCTTCACTGCCGCTTCCTTGACGAGCTGGACCTCGCCTTCGTCCCTGCAAATTACTCTGACTCGGTCCGGGTTTCGGGCCTCCTTCACAACCGCAGCGCAACGCCAGTCTCCCATGCTTTCCTGTGCCCTGGCCTCTGTCTCGATTGCCTTTCTAATGTCCGCCACCTGGACGTTTCCCTTCTCTTTCTCCTCCACCCTAGATGTATCGATCGTACAGAACAACGTGTCGGTAAAGGATGAAGGCGTCGTGTTTCGCGAGGAGAGGGTGCGCACACCGCTTGGCTGGCTTGATGGTGGGGTGCGAGCGACTTCGGCGTATGACCCTCTTGCGCTTGGTTGGGACGAAGCCATGGCTACCGGGTGGCGTTGAAGGGTATCAATCTGATCCCGCGCTTGTCTCAGTTCTTCAGAAAGCTGGGTCCTGGTGTCTGCAAGTTGGCGATGTAGTTCTTGAATCGCGTCGTGCTGCTTGCAAATCACCTCGCGTAGTTCGCCAATCGTGTTTCGCTGCTCGGTAATCATTCGGTACATTTCGTCTCGTTGTTCGTTGATCGCCTCCAGGAGCATCTGTATACCTGACTTCCCCGTCTCGATCCGGCTGTTGGCTCCATATAAAATCCCAGACGCGCGTGCTCCTCGCGTCGTAACCGCCCGCGTGGTCTCGCTCGCCGCTCTCCTCGACGTGGTAGCCACGTCCTCGAGCGATTGCATGGCTTCGCGAGCTTTCGCGCTCGGTTTCAACGCGCGGCTCGGTCGTCTCGGCGAAGGTGGTTGGTCGGCCACCTCGACCACGATTTGGGGCTGCGCCTCCGCCGCCATCTTGCAGTCCCTCGGCAGTGCCGCCCGACTTTCACAAAAGCTTCCTGGTCTCGATCGCCTCTCGCCGATGAACCTCTCCCTTATTTTTCGAATGCTCGTTCCGGGGCAGATTTTGCAGCTGGGGTTATCGTCCCCGAGGTCCAAGACCACGTGACGACTGCCCCAGCGGCAGATCACCCCTGTCCTCCGTCACGTCCCCGTGCGGGGACATAACTCTGGCGTAGATATTCCGACAGGAAACACCGTCCCATATCCGCATCTGGGGTTCCTCTTTGCCATGTACCAAACCCATGGCAGCATCTGACACAACTCCAGACATCCAACCACCCGGGCTTGCCCAGTCAAATGCTACCGCCCAAGGTCGAAACAGCTCGACGGGCAAGACGGGGCAAGGCTTGGTCCTCCCCTGTCTCATTGGATGACGGCCATGTCGTGTAACCGCTGGAGGCCCGGCTTTGCCGTCGGGCTGCATAAGGCACACTCTCTCTCACTTCAAACCTCGGTCTTCTTATTTCCAAAGCAATGAGACATTGACCACCGTCCTAATGACGACGACATGTCGGTCCCCGCGTTCGGGTTCTCGGCCGGCGACTTCATCGCCGCAGTCGGCCTCGCCGTCAACGTGACTAACGCCCTCAAAGACGTTGGTGGGGCATCGGAACAGTACAGAATTCTGGTGCAGGAGCTGAACTCGTTAGAGCGTGTCGTCAGGAAACTACACGCCAGGCAGGGGACAGAGAATAGTTTCCCCGAAGATATTACAAAGCAGACCGACATGACTCTAGAAACCCTGGGCAGTTTCCTCAAGACCATATCCAAATTCAATTCAAAGCTCGGGCCGAACGCAGCGTCAGGATGGCACCACGGCGTCGGGAGAAAAGCACAATGGGCTGTGGCGTACGCCAAGGAGGTGGAAAAGCTGCGGGTCAAGCTCGGGACGCATCTGGCTCAGCTGAACATGCTGCTTCAGATTTACGCGAGCGCAAGGTGTGTCCATTGGACCCTAGGCATTCGATCGATACTCCCTTGATCAAGTTGCCGTGCTGATATCCTATCAGGGTCGAGGCCCTTGCAAAGACGTTGGCCAGTATCCCCCCGGCCATCGAGGCGCAGGACACGCAGATGTTGGCCTTACAACAAGAGACCTCCACCAATATCGACAACCTGGGTTCGCAAATACAACAGTTCGGCAGTTCCCAGGAGGCCATCCTTCACCGGCAGCATTCGGTTGTTCTCGCTCGGTTCCAAGCTGCCCGTGACGATATCCAACAGGGCCACGGCCACATTACAACACTCGGCGGCAGCATAGACGCTCAGACTCAACAACTGGCCGCCTTGCGTCAAGACGCCCAAGTCTACCACAGCACAATTAGGTCCCGCATTGAAGAAGCCCATCAGCATACCCAGCAAGGCATGCAGTTGTTGTCAAGACAGTCGGATCTCATCCTCTACGCCGTTTCTCAGCCTGGAAGGACGGAGTCGATGAGGGCGGAAGGGAAAGACGACGTTTTCTTCCTGCTGTTTCAGCTGTGAGTCAGAGCAAAATTTGAATATGCCGGAATTCTGGTTCTCTAACATGGCTTCAGGCTCCGCGCCATTTCAAAATCGATGGGCAATCTACTTTGGAAAGCCGGCCTGATTCTCCCGTTCATCCTCTCGGCCGTCGAGAGGATGACGAACACTATACGACGCCAGCCCTATCTGCTGGTGGAAGACAGCATCAACTTCACAGACATGCAGGGGAAGAAATACACGATGCACTACGATTATTTCCGGCACTGGTCGGTAAGCATGCTTCTTTCGTTCCCCCGTTTATTTGTGGCCCATCACCATGCTGACAAAACTTCAGCATTTCGAATCCTTTTTCTATGACCGGGTGTACGGATTGGCCCAGAAGAAAATGAATGCGCTCCCCCCCGGGTCGGGTAAAACTTTACGGCTGGTAACACTAGATACTCCCCGTGGGCGCCATCTTCTACCACTCAAATCTCATGACCACTGGAAGGTTGCCCCGGGCGATCAAATTTTGGCAACGCTAGAACTGAGGAGTCTAATAAGCTACGCCTATGATGCCCGAGGGAACGCGAGGCCGACTAATAGATCGACACGATGTCTCACTACGATAACCTGGCTGCCGCGGCAACCTATTGTGGACGACTAGATAGTTGTAGTTCTTCCTATAGCCTTGGAATGTGGAATATACCGTCTGTTCCAGATGTAACCCTAGGCACATACTTAATAGGCCACTTCTTCTCCAACACAGCTCCGCGTCCCATTTGTGTAGGCTCGTGAGACGAATCGTAAAGGTACTCTCTGGCCAATGTTCACTATGTGGGTGGGTGGAATGGCCAATCCTCTCTGAGTTAAAGTTAAACCCTTTAGGACCTGGGTGAAGAAAATGTTTACTCCCAAAATCGGGTTATAACTACGCGTGCCAAACGTCGACGTCTACAATGATTGGAGATAAGACGTTTCATGTTGTCCCATCGGCAAATAAAGCCGAACTCTAGACCTAAATCCCGAGCAGACCTGCGAGAAGCAGGCCGCCGACACCGCCAAGATCTACACCGAACTAAACGCCCTCAAGCAGCGCGTCACAGTCTGCGAGGTGAAGCATCGCGACGATCACCGCAGCCTCACACCCACAGTCGGCTAACTCGTGGAAGACTCAGCGGCGCACATCGAAGAGCAAACACCTAACGAGGAACACATCAGGGCCACCCAAGACACCGGCAAGTCCCTGCACGACCTTTATAAAGCCATCGATGGCAAAATTGGAGCGCCTGTCAAGCGTACGACGGACCTGGAAAACGCCGTCGACGAGCACAATAAAAAGCTCAAGTCCAACAACAGCCACGCATCCGCCACGAAGGCACTCGACAAGGCGAGGCAAGTTGATGTCGCCGTCGAGAACCTGGACACCCAGGTGAGAGCACAGGGCAACCAACGCAACGCTCGCCTAGAGGAAGACAAAGAAAAGAAAAAGAAAAAAGAAAAAAGAGACATTCGAAACCCCGAAGTCCATTTTGTATTTTGTTCAGTTTCTCTCATTTGGTTTCTTTTTCTCTTTTGCTCCACTTCTTTTCAATTTCGTATTTAGTTTCTTTCACCTCTTTCTCTTTTCCTGGTGTCTTGCTCTCTATTTTTCTCTTTTCTTACTTCCTTGCGCTGGCGCCGGGGGTGCGATTCGCAAGCCCGGTAGCCAGCGGTGTCGACACCACCGCCCTGCCGCCCTGAGTGCCCGAGCCGGCTACCGGACCAACGCCTACCGCCGCCGCCAACCCTGCGGTCACTGCCACTCCGAACCAACGCGACGCCGAGGGAGACACCACGATGGACTCGATCACCGTCGCAGGCGATGGAAATTAAAATTTTACTCTGGAACACCGAAGGAAACAAGCAAACACTGGAAGTCTTGCTGGAAGAGGCCAAATATGACCTCTTAGCGGTGCAAGAACCGTGGATCAACAAGGCGACAAAATCCACATACTGCCCCCGGAGCAGCAGATACCACCTGGTACATAAACTCGAGGGGCGGGCGGCAATATATGTAAGCAAGGGCCTCCTCATTATACAGGCAGCTAAAAGACGAGCACCCTCACTTGGCTATAACAGGGTTTGCGGATGACACCAACCTTCTAGTATTTGGTCGAAACCCCGAAGCCCATGTCCGGCAACTAGAGGCGGCGTGGGAAACGTGTATACGATGGGCGGACAGTCGGGGGATGAAGTTCGCCCCGGAAAAGAGCGAACTGATCCATTTCAACAAAGGGCGACGGCAGTGGACCGAACAAGTAAACCTTGCCAACCCAGGGGGAGGCACCAGCCCCGTTAAACCAGAAGGGTCTGCCAGGTTCCTGGGAGTCTGGTTGGACTGGAAACTCAACTGGAAGGCCCACCTGGTGGCGGTGGAGAAAAAGCTGAGGACCCAGAGCTATGCCCTGTCGAGGATCGTGGCAAAGACATGGGGGATGGGGCTAGCCAAAGCGCGAGAAGTGTACACAAAGTGCATCCGGTCGGCGCTGGCCTATGGCGCATCATCGTTTCACATCCCCACGGATGTGGGAGGCGAGCCGGCAAAGAAAGGCATCACTAAGGCCCTCGGGAAGGCCCAGAACAAGAGCTTGCGGATTGTGGCGGGAGCCTTTAAGTCTACCCCCATCCGTAACCTCGAGACAGAGACATGGGTACCACCATTGGACTTGTACCTAAACAAACGGCTTGCAGATTTCGAAAACCGACTCCAACGACCCGATCTGGACGACGGTCGAGGCGGCAAGAAGACGGCGGCGAGCGTTGTCCTCACCGCCTGCCGCAAGATACAGCAGAGACTTAGCTCGAGGAGGGGCAACAAGAGCCGACCGCGAACCTTGGGACCTCAAGGGCCTACGGCGGTGGAGAGAGCCGCGGGAACGGTCATGCGCTGGACGGGGGGAACCGTTGATACGAACAGGGTAGTAGAAGAGGCTTGGAAAGCAAGGTGGTTAAAGGAACGGGACGGCAGGGCAATCACCAGGCCGGCGGACGACTTTGACCATCAGCAGGAGACGCTATTCCGGAACGAAACCCTGAGGAGGCACGACGGTCTCAGCAAGGCAAAGAGCTCACTGCTGATTCAAATCCGGACGGGAGCAATAGGCTTACGGGACTTCTTGTTCACACGGGGAGTCCCGGAGGTTCTGACTCCTGCCTGCGAGTGTGGCGAGGGACGAGAGACTGCCGAACACCTGGTAGTGTGGTGTTTGGCCCCACCGTTGACTAGAAGATGGGAGAGAACTGGAATTCGGACACGACGGGACTTTTACTCTGTTCTACACGGCATCAATCCCACGACTGCACGGCTCGCGAGGAGAGTTCTCGACTGGCTGATGGACTCGGGGAAGCTGCCGATGTACAACTTAGCCAGGAGGCCTCCTCTCTTTGTATATGTAGGCTCACTAAAACGCATCGCTCCTTGATTGTTGGTATGGGTTTTTCACCCGGCCCGGGAGGGCACGGTTTTTCTGTACACTAAATAGCTGAGGGTCCGGCACGCCCTAAGGCATAGTGGAGTATGAATAATAATTTCTTATAAAAGGTTTATTCCATTGCTGCATCGACTCCTGTGATCAAGGTTGGGCAGTCATATGATGTACAAAGATACCTATCGTTCAAGCCAGGCCATCATTACCATATGATTCCACGTTTAGTTACTCCTTTAGACCTTCATGCTTGTGACCAACTCTGACGGCCGAGTCTTCTGTCCACGGTCTTGACCCTGAACTCAACCTACTGAGCATTGTCTCGTTTGTTAATGATTGGTTATCTACACCCCCCCTCGCCATGGACCATCCCTCTATCTGTATAATGCAGGTATACAGGAGTGTTCTACCCTGTGCTCTGGGGTGGCTTGGGTGGCTTGGCTGGGAATCCACCCTGGCCCTTGACTCCCCTGGAGGTGCTTGGCAATTAACATGGAAATCCCAAGCGGAGATGTTCGGGTCAGTCCCGGAGACCGAAAACCCGGAGCCGTTCTGTGATTGTCCGTTAGCCCCTGAATTGACCGATACAAATTATGGACCTAAGCTATATATATACTCCAGGTTAACCCTTTTGTCACCGGACCTTTCATAGGTTTCTTCATTAAACATTTCATGGTGGCAGCCATTGACAAATAAAAAGATCTAATCCCCATCGTCATCGCCACTTCAAACATCCTATGATTCGTTCGCCATGGCCGCACCCTCGCTAAACCCCCCCACCACCTCCCTATCATTCACCTCCCTCAACGACGACAAACCCACCACCATCATCCTCCTCCACGGCGGCTTCACCAGCCGTCTCGAATTCGCGCTCGTCATCCCCCACCTCTCCGCCTTCCACCTCCTCCTCCCCGACCTCCCCCTCCACTCCGCCTCGCGCCACATCACCCCCGGCACGACCGACAACTCGGCCCGGCACGTCGTCGACCTCATCCAAGCCCACGCCCACGGCGGCCAAGCCCACGTCGTCGGCGTCTCCATGGGCGGCTACATCGGCCAGTGCCTCGCACTCGACCGCCCCGACCTCGTGCGCTCGCTTTTCGTCACGGGTGCCGCCCCCGCGGTGGGCAAGCGCCTCTTCATGGCGCGCTGGACGACGCTGACCTACTACAGCATGAAGTTGATGCTGTGCTGGCTGCCGGAGTGGGTGTATCGGTGGCAGACGGCGCTGATGGGGTTGAAGCAGAGTGATGACCTGGTGGCGGAGTTGAGGGCTAATATCACGTGGCCGCTGGTGCGGGATATGTTTCCGTGGATTTTGGGGTTTACGTTGGAGGATGTGCGGCGGTTGAGGGTGCGGACGCTGACGGTTGCGGGCGCGAGGGGGGATGATGTGCCCATGCTGGAAAGGACGGCGGATGCGTTGAGGAGAAGACGGACGGATGGGGGGGAGGCGTGGCCTGAGGATGGGTCAGGGGGGGTAGTGTTGAGGGAGGCGGAGCATGCGTGGGACTTGCAGTTTCCGGAGTTGTTTGCTCAGGGGGTGGCGGCTTGGGTTGAGGGGGGGGAATTGCCCAAGGAGTTTGAGAGGGTTTAGCAGTGAATAACCAGGAGAGAGCCTTGTATAATGTGTATTTGGGGAATCCGACCTGTCCAAATACAACTGGGTTGCCGTTGGGCATATGCAGGGCGTTAAGGGCGTGGTCTTGCCGCGGGGGAAGCAGCAGGTAGCAGGGCCGTCAGGGGGGTCTCAATGAATCAGCATGTATCAAAACACATCCACACAACTCGCTCACGGCCGAGGGG